TTTTGGTTTATTACTGTATATATACAACTAATACTAAAGATTTAGCATAGTGTTTTTCACCTCAAAACATAAGACTTGTAACAAGCTCAGAATGCTGTAATTCCTGACAAAATAATGATGTGAATGATATTTTATAAAGTTATTTTGTATGGTGTCCATTTTGTTTTGCCTCATAGTATGTCAATAAAATAAAATTCCTCATCTTTACAAGTTGCTGTTTGAGGCCTTTTTATTGAATTCAGTCGTTCTCTGCAGTTCCTTGTGCCCTGTGAGAAATTTTTTCCTGACTTCAATAATTTTTGAGTAGAGAATAGTGGTGGGAGGAGATCTGATGACTGGGGAGCTGCTGGAGGTGCCACTGAACAGAGACATGGGTAAGTCCCTGGGAACTGTGGAAAGAGCTGTTATTTTGCAGCATTGCTGCTGTGTTCTCACTGCCAGAGGTCAGATTTGAATGTAAAGTTACAGATTGCTTAGAATTAGTTGTTAAAAGCTCTGGCAGCAGATTGGAGATGGTCCTGATCCCACATAAACCCTGTACCAAACTGCTCTGTCAAATCCTGATACAAATGTAAACGTGCTGCTGCAGAGGCTTTTCCTGTGACGAGATGATCTCAGTTGCCCAAGAGCCAAAAAGTTCTTCTAGTGCTGCTGCCCTCCCTTGTGTTCCACCACATCTGAGATGTTTCCATGGGCACTCTCACCTGCTCTGTGCCCAGATTTCCCAGGGCAATACAGGCTGCTTTTAACTGGGTGTCTTATAATCCTCAAATCATTATGCAAGGCCAGCATTTTGGGAACAACTGGCCAGAGATTCCACCTTTTGTTGCTCTCTCAGGCAATGCCTGCAGCGATTCATTTTTAAATAGAAGTTAAGTAAGCACTTGGTGTTTAAGGCATCGAGTGAAGGGGGATTATCAAAACTGCAGGTGTGCTGAGGAGCTCCTGTTGGGAGCTCTGCACACAGATTAGTTTTAATCACTAATAGGAGATGAAGTCACTGCCATCTCTTCCATTTGAGGCAGAGCTTTATTTTTTCCCTTGTTTTTGAACTACTCCTTTGAACTGGGCATGGTTTTACTCTGTGTCAAGCTCTTGGGGAAAACAAATCCCACTTGCTGGATTTGATGGCAACCAGCCTTGGCAGATGCAAGGCCTTGGAGAGGCTTGTGGCAAGTCCTGGCAGCTCTGAAGTCCCCATTGAGGACTCTGGCTGAATGGATCCAGAAGGGTGTTTGAGTGCACTCATTGACAGAGAATGTTCATTATCCCACAGGAAACTTCTGAGGGATGAAATATGGTCATTTAAAATTAGTAACCACAGTTCTTTTGTCATTC